GTCCAATTATTTCTTATACTCCATAACAAAATATCATGTGAATGTTGAAGACTTGGCAACATTGTGTTGAATTCTGAGAACTTACGAGACCACGCCATGTTGTCACGTTTACCACTTCAAATTTCCTCTGGTGTGAATTAATATAGTTATAATTTACACAGATTTATTAAAAGCAATGAGCTAAAATCATGAAGGAACAGTTGAGACAATTGATTTTTATTGCTTATTAGGAATATTACCAATACATAATTGAGAATTCATGAATTATTGGATAACTAATATTTCTGAAGATCTCAATCGTTATTTCAACACAACATGGCAACTGTGCTATGGTATACCTCTACTTACGAATACGTCAGTTTTTACTCGTGGTAGATTTCTAGCCGTTTGAAAATTACCGTGGTATTATTGATGATAGCACCTGAAGTCGACCGAAACATTCTAAAAAAATATGAAATTAAAAGGTATTTGAGTGATGATTCTATTTAAGAATTTGAAAAAAAGAGTTCACTCATACATATTCTCTAACATTCCCTCCTTCCCCCTCCCGATATCAAATAAGTTGGCAAACTGAATATTTTCTGACTGATGTGACATTGGACAAACGAAAAAAAAAATAATCTGTAGATTTAATATTTTATTTAAACGAAAATACAGTTATCCGATGAGATACAAAGAATAATTGCTATATGTATATCACTGTTACTAAATATTCTCTTCATGGTTCCCCAACATTGTTTTATCATTAACCAAACCTATTATTTATTTCCTCGACACGTGTTTCGATAATTATATCGAAATATCCCATTCTAGAGTGCTGCTTAGACAGACCATCTGCAAGTTGATGATGGTTTCTCCGAAACGAAACGTGGTACGGAAAATTTCTCAATGCTATAGAGCTTATAAAAAAAGGCAATGAGAAAGTGTCTTCTGTTTCCTCATATCTCTTCAAATAACTTCAGAAAAGAATTAAAACGATCCCCATGATAGACATCCTTATCTTGGCCACAGTGTATACTATACAGGATGTTATTCAAGTATGTGGCCAAACTTCAAGAGGTGATTGTTTCTAGTGATTCTAAGACGAAAAGATCATGTATGGCGATTATGGCCAAATCAACATCCCAGCATCAATACGACTAAAACTGCAAAAATTTCAACAAAATTGGGGGGAGGATTTTCAAGATATATTAACGTAAAACCGATTCTTCATAAAAGGTTTGATATCCTGCATTTTCGGACCTATGTTTATATGAACTATTGAACTATTCCTCTCAGAATCATCAAGATAATCGCCCCTTGAAGTTTGGCCCCATGCTTAAATATCACCCTGTATATACTTACAATGTCTGTCATGATTGAGTTCACATGCTTATCCTGAATCACTTAATTATACAGAGGGCTATATGGAATAGGTCCTTCGCATTTAATTCTCTAACATTAATAACTTTTTTTTCTGATTTATGACAAATTGATATTCATAATGATAATAATAATAATAATAATTAATTAATATTATTGTATATATATTTCCATTTTACATGTTCATAATTCATGTGAGAATATTCCTCATTGATAACTTATTCGACTGTGTGTGTTATGATCATTATGATTGAATATATCGTTAGATATCGATTTATCTATCTACTATATTCCGAATATGCGAGATGTTCTTTGAACCTTTTGTTTATGGGTGTCCTAGTTTGGCCCATATATGTTTTTTCCACAATCATCCCAACACCCATAGATACTAATTTTAGATACGTCCATGAATATCGTTTTCCGAGCCAATATCAATAAAAAGTTTGTCTTGCGGAATAAGCTCAGAAATAAAGCTCATTCTCTGTTCGGCAAGCCAAATGAAAATGGATGTTGACAGATCTAAGAGCGTGATAAAGGGTGTTCAGCAAATGAACGTTTAGAACTTTGGTGACCCGAGAAATCAATATCGCCAATCCTAGACAATGTAAACAGATATATTATGGAAGATAACTTGTTGTATCAACAAAAATTCGCTTCAAACACGGCAATGATTTTGGAATGTGTTTGATGAATACACACATTATCATAAAGGCGCTAGATGGACATAACTATAATTTTTTTTTGATCAAAATTATAATTTTGAGATTATACTGTCGATTCACTAACTGCAAGATGTATCTTGTAATTGAGCCTTAATTGACAGATAAATCTTACAATTAGGCCTTACTTGGCAAATAAATATTGAAATTAGTCTGATTGTACGAATCATCTTGTTACTAGGGCAATATAACAAGAAAATATCATCTAAAATCACAATTTCAAGATTATTCCGTCAATTAAGCTGAGTGCAAGATTTATCTTGTAATTAATCCGTAATTGAATAATAAATCTTGAAATAAAGCCCAAATTGCCGGTCATTCTCGCAATTTGTCTAACTGCAAGATATATACATCAATTAGGCCCTAATTGCACGATATCTCTTGCAGTTGGACTATTTTTTTATAATCTCTTGGAGCGCACGAAACGAAATCATTATACAGTGTCATTCATAAAGTTGGCATCACATGAGAAAAACTTCTAATGATAATGTATTTTGAAATTCGACTATGGCGTCGAGTTTTGCTTCAAAATAGATGGAAAATGACCTACTCGGTCGGAATCTTATAAATTACGTTACCATAGCAACGCTACTGTTCGTTAATCAAAAGTTGCGCGTCGCATCAGTTTGACAATTATTGTAAATGTCAAAAACATAAATGAACAGCAAATGATATTCCAGTAAGAATGTGGAGAATTGGAATTATTTGGGAGGCAGAAATAACAAAGGAGAAGAAAAATTCAACTCCATGAAAAATACAGGAAGAAATTATTCCTCCATTTGGAGCCAATAATTTAGGTAATTTTGTAAACAACGAAACTTGGAAACTGAACAGTCAGTGAAAAATGTGGCAGGAATATTGATGAACTGGGCTTCAAAATAAAGAAACAGAATGGGAAAGATTATAAAAAATACCTACGTGGTGAAAACAATGTACGCTCACGTGATTTTTTCAAAATAGCTCTCGTTGAATTACTGATAAAAGTAAGTATTCGAAAACAACTATAAAAAATATGCAGCTAAATCTGCGGAAATGTAGCACGAAAAAACGTGCGGAAATAGTTATTTGTTTAACTAGGCGCTACGCTCGGCTATGAATTCAGCTTCGGCAGTCAATCTACTTTGCTGCCGATTTGAACATATAATTTTTTCTCCGATTGTTCATAATGATATATATCTCTTTATTTTTCCTGTAATGTTCAATTAAAATAAAATTTGATAGAAATTGCAGTTGTTGGAATGGTTGGTTGCTATGGAAATGTCCATGATAATTATAGTTTGACAATTCATGAAATTTCTGACAGTTGTGCGAAAAAATATCGGATTATTTAAATTATTATATAATGGACAGTGATAACGACCTGGAAGTACTTACACCTCCAGAAATGAGGGAGGTGGCTAAAAATATAGAGTTGAATTTGTTGCCGGAGAAGTCTCGGATGAAATATGAAGGAAATTATAAATGATTTATGGATTATTAATTTTGCTGATACATATCAATCAGCAAAGTAACATCTCTGCTGCCTAGGCAGGAAAAGTAATACTTTGCTGATTGATATGTGTCAGCAAAATTAATATTTGCTGCCAATCGGAGAAAAACTTACTTTTTCGCAAGCTCGTAGAAAAAAACGAATTCCTAATCACCCATCATCCTATACATTATGATAAAATGAGAAGAGTTTATCATGGACGGGTCTTGCAGTATACGTTTGACCTGTTGTTGAAACGTATTCAAATGCATCGTAATAGCACTTTGACATGTAATATCTGGGTTTCACGTATTCGCGGCCAGGAATAATGGAGATGTAATTACCGTTTTGACATCGGTTTCTGATTGTAATTAATTCGCAGCCATTTCATGCCACGTGAGTGTTGATTCGTTACGTTACAACCTGAATTCGAGATTAGTATACAGAGTTCATCTAAATAACACCGAAAAAATTCAAGGAGTGATTCCTTGTGATATTTTTGGAAATGAGGGGCTCAAGTTTCGTTTAGCTGAAATCAGTTATGGAAAAACTGTTGACATGGCAACGATCGTCATGGTAACGACTAAACAAAATTCCGATTCCCCTGGTGAGGATATGCGTGGTTGTCAAGTTGTCTCGGGTTTAGTTTGACTGAAATGAGTTATGGAAAAACTATTGCTATGGCAACGATCGTCATGGTAACTCTAACCAATACCAATATTGAATATAATCTGATCATAATTTAAAAACTCGTCCGCCATATTAGATCTACCATTTAGAATTTCCTAATTTTGACGAAGGAATCATTATCTCCGACCTCGAAAACCCCCAGTTACCAATTTTGATGTAATCTGACCATAATTACAAGATGTTGACGAAAGAATTACCCGTACTCGTCCGCCATATCGGATCCGCCATCTTGATGTTCCAAATCTTGACGAAAGAATCATAATCTCCGAAGCCAAAACTCCCCTGCAGATTCAAATTTTCAATGGAATCTGATCATAATTAAAAAATCTCGTCGGCCATATTGGATCCGCCATTATGAATATCCTATTTTTGATGAATAAATCATAATCTCCGACCCCGAGAATCCCCAGATACCAATTTTGAATGAAATGGTATCACACAGCTCGTCCGCCATATAGGATTTTCAATTTTAAAAACAGATTACGACCGATTCTCATAGCTACCTAATACGCACAAACATTTTCCTACGAATCGGTCGAGCCGTTTTGGAGGAGTTTGGCCGCTAACACCGTGGCTGGGACATGAGAATTTTATATACATATTAGGTTTTTCGGTATATCTAACAGACAACTTCCACTTTCCTGAATATATTCACATCCCTTGAACACACAATTCCTAGAATAATGACCTGGTGATGGTGATGGCTTTGAGACGGAACTTCATGTGAAGCACTATATCTAATTCTTTTCTCTCATCTGTTCCAGACTGATTACAGCCGACACTTGGACGAAATCGCCAAAATGGCGGAACGAACAACGTTGGAGGCCGTACAGAGATTGCTCATTTGTGGGAAGACGTTAGAAGCTGTGGACCTGATTGCCAGATGGGAAGCCTATAGGGACGTGAAAGGTGGGTGATGGCCCTTTTCGTAAAAGAGGTGGGAATCTTGAAACTGCTGTTGATGCTATTTTCGGGAGTAATAATAATCTTACGGTTTTAGAGGAGAGTCTCATAGTTGCTTGAAAACTTTTCGCCAATGCGTTGCGAACCTAATGATTCGATATCACTAGTGACATCAGAAATAGGATCTGTATGTATAGGTGTTCCCCAGGGATCCATATTGGGACCGATCCTCTTCTTGTTGTACATCAATGATTCGATATCACTAGTGACATCAGAAATAGGATCTGTATGTATAGGTGTTCCCCAGGGATCCATATTGGGACCGATCCTCTTCTTGTTCTACATCAATAGATTTGAAGCTAATATACATCACTCAGATTTCGTTGCGTACGCGGACGATATATCCATCTTGAAGTCATCAACTGATGCATTATTATTGAAACAAGAAACCGAAAAATTACTAGACGCCGCTTGCAAGTTTTTCAATAACCATGATCTATATTTCAACGGTAAGAAAACCCAAGTAATTCGTTTTCATGACGACGAGATGTTTAATTACCGCTGTAAATTTTCGGTAATTGCATTGCTCTTATGACACATTCCATAAATTATGGGGAAAATGTTCGGTTATAATTGCACAAGTGCATAAAAATTACCGATAATTTTGCAAGAAAGCATGTTATCTAAAAATTGCAAGAGTTAACTTCCTCCATCTTCGGACTTTCGCCAAAATATGAAAATATCCGAATACAATTTGTAAGATAACTCGCTTCAATGCGGAATTATATGGTTATTTTCAGGCAGGAATGTAATTCATTTGGATATTTCATGAATTAAGAAATTGTCGAAGAAATTTTTTTCTCAGGAATATCATATAACTGAAAAAGACTATAAATAAAATGTGTTATAAGACTTTTAGATTGAATGGAGCATTCACCAAAACGCGACTTTTCATTCACTTTTTGAAGTATATATAACATTTATTTGTGTTGTTCTCTGGCGTCTAGCGAGACGGTTTCAAATGTGTTGTTATGGCGACGGGATTTTTTCGCAGTGCAATCTCCGCTCTGCAGTGCAATTAATGCTGTAACTTTTCGATAATTGCATTGCTCTTATCAGAAATTCTATATATGAGGAAAATATTCGCTATAATCAGCCAGGGTCTAGGATCCTTAATGATATGACAGATTCATTCATCAATCAATCAAAACATTACCGTGGCGTTTTTTCTTTTTCTTTATCCTTCATGGTGGCAGAACAAATAAGGCTCGTTTCTATCTATATGTGTCGATATCTCACCCTCTGTCGAATAAAGTTTATTCTCTCTTCTGTCAGAGATAAGCCATGGTTATGGATAGGTTATTTCCAAATTCCTTCCGTTTTTTTATCTCGCCAACACCAAAACCGAAGGCTGAATTTATAACCACCTTTTTATTTCGCACGTTATCGCATTTGCCGTCTCAATTTAGGCAAAGCGTAACTTGAAATTCGCATCTTTCTGGGAATCATTGAGACAAAAAATGTTGGCTAAATATCAGAATTCGTAAATTAGATTTAGGTGATGTACTAACGACAATCTCGAAGAGCAATGCCGACTGTTAATAAGAAAAAATCAGTTTCGCAAAGTATAATCTAAATCGGAAAGATTGGTCGATTGGACACATTTTTCGTAGTGAAAACACAATTCTCAAATTCCATGGCCCCCATATTTATACGTCTAATTTTGTAAAATTATTAGTTTTTCAATTTTGAGTTGACCGAGAAATAAGTGGTGTCATATTTTGTGGTCATAAACCTTCTTATTTTCAAATACGATATCAGACAAATTGCTTAATAACTATACAGCAAACTCATTGAGAAAGAATATTCTAAGATACAATTATGAACATGAAAAAATGGATAAATATACAGGGTGTCTGTAAAAGGTCTTTACAAAAACATACCACATATTCCTCAGACCAAAATAAGTCGATTTAAGTAGAATTACCTCAGTACAAAGTTGCATCGTTTGGGCTCCAGAGGGCCTTGAAGTTACAATTTTTAAATCGTTTTTCCCATATAAATTTAAAACGGCATATGCGATTTTGGTGAAATTTGGTATATTGATGAAAAAAATGGTGTCAAAATTTTGTCCGATAATAATACATAGGCGTAGAACTTGATTTTTTAAATAATTGCACCTTCAAAAATTCTACGCCAATGGAAGAAAAGGAGTTTGAGTATGAAATTCAGATTGCGCAACTCATTCACTTTAAAAAATGTACTCTTGATAAGACTCGATTGCTCTCATGGCTTTGACGAAATTTGCATTCTAGTAATTTTAGAACATGAACAATAATCATTAAAATACAAACTTTGTCATAACCATGAGAGTAAATCGAGTGTTATCAAGGGTACTTTTTTTGAAGTAAATGAGTACCCAATCCAAATTTCATACTCAAACCCCTTTTCTGCCATTGGCGTAGAATTTTCAAAGGTGCAATTATTTAAAAAATCAAGTTATCATGATTGTATTCGAACATAATATGTAAAAAGTTTCCTGCTACTTCTTATTTTCATTCTTTTCAATGATAAGCTAGATGTTCCTTGAACCTAATTTCAACTGGTCTCCTAGTTTGCCCTACACCATAAGTTTTTCTTGAAATTATTCTTGAATTCCGATTTGAAATGCTGTTCGAATGAACTGCAAATAGCAAATGTTTGCACTGAATCTAAAATGTGAACAGGAAGGTTTTAGTAACCATATCAGATGTTCGCATGCGGTTTGTTCAATTCCCATACAATGTTATTTGTCGAAGTGGAAATGAAGTATTATTATTATTATTATTATTATACAAAAACTCGATGTTGCTAGCTGTACATTATTAGAATTTAGGTCCTAGCGGAGTAGATGTCGCTTTTTTTGTGGCATCACGTCCCAAATAATGAACTGCAAGCTCCGGGTCGCTCCAGGATATTATCCCATGGCACTCTTACCACGTGTTCAGTCTACAGTGCCTGTTTTTCGTTTTTCTCATTATGAGTTTTGCGGTTGTCTGAATCTTTCCAGCTTTTTGCGGTTATTAGATGAACTGGGCTCTGTCGGAGATGGATGGATATAATATATTTTGTCAGACAAAACGAGTTAGTCACGGTGGTCCGATTTGTAATACAAAAAATTCAACAGTGTGTTGTACCCGTTGAAATAATAAAACAAGTTCATATAAACATATACTTTCAAACGCGTCGTTTTCGAGATATGGGGTGTTGAAAATACGAGTCTGAATATTGTTTTCGGATGAAAAGTTCTAATCGTTTTGAGATATGAATTTATCAGCTTAGATTTCTCATCGTTAATTCGGTTCAATTCGAAAACGTTGTAACGCATTGAAAGAATACAACAGAACTATTATACGCAGAAATCTATATGTTTTCACATTTTGTAGTCGAAAATGAAAAATTGAATGCACATATAAAAATTGGGGTGATTTTTTCCTTCACCACTCCCAGATTCAGCCGCCACTGAATCACTTTATGAAATCATTTACATTTCATCTTATAGAGCGTAAAAAGTTTGGTATCTGTGAGTAATTTTGTTGATTTATCTCAAACCTTCTCATCAAAAAACAATATTCAAACTCGTATTTCAAAACCCTATATCTCGAAAACGAAGAGTTCAAAAGTATATGTTTTTATTAACTTTTTTTATTATTTCGACGAGTACAATACACTGTTGAATTTTTTGTATTACAAACCGGACCACCCTGTATAGTTGGGCAGCAAAATTCGAAGTGTCTTTCTGAACCACCGTGGGCTATGTAACTTCGTTTTTATTTTTCCAAAGAGCCTTCTATTCGTCTATGACGTTTCGTTCATTCCAAACCATCATCAGAACTTTTTCGGCACAGCCAATAATTATTCTGTTAGTCATTGTATAAAACTCGTTTTCTCATGAAATATTTCCTAACTAGCGAAATTTTGAGGATTCAGTATTCGGTATATATCAAAAACATTCAGTAGATGTGGAAAAAACTAGATTTCCAGTGGCTTCAACTTCAGAATTTCGAATATAAACTCTTGTTTCTTGTAATGTTCAGATTCTTGAGCTCTTTTCACATAGAACTGAGGTGAGTTTCAAAAGTGTCTAATTCCAATCTGATTTTATATTTCATTTTGATTTCATAATTTCAAACCAGGATCAATTATGTTTCAAGTCCTTGTCTTTGGATACTATTCTTCGGCTACGCCTTGGCTATCAAACGCCAGCCGCGGCATTAAATCTCGTGCTTTTCTGCCTAGTAAAACAAATAACTATTGCTCTTTCCTAAAAATACCAGTAATTTATATCGATGAGGAGATGATGGAGAATACTTCATTAAAATTTCTGAATCGATAAAATGATATTTGTGACGATAAACGGCTGAGATCGATTCCATCCTGCTTTTCAGATTCTGCCAACCTGACAATGGAAGAGGAGCTCAAACTATTTTTGAGGAAAATTGGGAAAGTGGAGGAAATCGTCGAAGCGCTGAAAGCATATGTGTCCACCGAACCGGACACTGTATTACGGAAATTGGAAGAAAAATTGAACGTCGTAGCTCAGGCAGTGAAAAAAGAAGGTTCACTCAATGCTGGTGGAAAATTCGAATGGGTCGACTCCATATTGGTCAAGGTAAAAAAAATAGTGGAATACAATCAAAACCGAAAATCGAAAGAAAATAATACGTTTCGGAATTGGTTGCTACCATCTTCAGGACAAAAAATATCGCATATCATATGGAAGAATAACAATGTTCAGTACCTATTAGGATTCATGACCCAACCAGAAGAAAATTGTGGAACATTCAATGTAATATGATCTGCAATAGAATCTTTTTACAGATTATATCACCTCAAAAACAAACTGTTACCATAAAATATCACATTCCCTTGTCACTCATATATTGGATACCAAATTAGAAATAGTTAATATTACAGATAATTTCAGAAATGATAATACTACTTGGAAAAATTCAAAGAAATGATTTTTATTTTTTGGGGCGCCACTGATGAATAAAAACGAATAAAAATATATCGAGAACTATCGCCTTTCTTCACCATACTTCCTATTTTCTATCTGTTTCATTGTCTTTCTTGATTTTCTCATTATAGCATGAAGGTTAACAGTGCCTACCAAGAAAAAATAACACCCAGTAGGTATAGCTTCAATGATTCTATCAATGCAAAATATTTGTACTGCTCAAAGAAATAATTTCACTGAATTCCGAATCGATAGCATCTGTCTCAACAAAGATAAAAATTCATAACAAAAAATTTAAGTGATCTCCAACACCCCGTAAATGGAAAACCAGTTTCTCATCATTTTGTCGAAGTCAGACAAGTCAAACATATAACACCCTGTATATTATGTATGTATATGTTGCTTGTAGTGTTTACAAGATGGATCCTGGCTGCTCGTAGACAACGTGAATCTTTGCAGTTCAGCTGTACTAGATAGACTGAACGCGCTACTGGAACCCAATGGCGTACTAACGATATCCGAGAGGGGTGTCGATGACACTGGTCGGATGATCGAAATCAAACCCCACAAAGATTTCCGCATGTTCTTCACCATGGATCCCAAAAACGGAGAAATTTCTAGGTACCAATCACATTCACTTCTCCTCATCAACTGGATTTAAAGCTATACTTTTTTTTTTCAGAGCGATGAGGAACAGAGGCATCGAGCTCTACATCCTGAGCGAAAACGAAACCAAAACATCCAACGAATTCGACAGGTTAGGTCTTATCAACCTGGAAGGTATGCAAAACACGATGGAGATCGTATCTTTGAACAGAATCCACGCCTCCATTTCTGATCTGACATTGGGAGAGAAACCTACCGTAAAAGAACTTCTACAAGCTGCTTCTTTAATAGCCCAGCAAATAAATATGGACAAGAGCACTCTAGAAGTATTCACAGACGTTGTCATCGAAGTTTACTACAAAACTAGATCTGCTTTCGAGTTTGACAGCGATGATCCGGTAGCAGTCATCAAAAATGAGGTCAAGCAACAATTGTGTACTGTACATGAGTTGGATCATATGCCAATAGAGGTAAATGACTTGTACGATGACAGTATCACTCTGAAAACAAGCAACATTGGGGTTGCCTCTATGATAGAAAAAATCAAACAGCAGTCGGTTCTTCTCCTCAAATATTTAGGTAAAGATGTGAACTTTGAACTGCTGCATCGCTTTGTCAACTATTATTCTATATCTTCGATAGAAGATCTGGATATGAGACATTGCTATATCGAATCCAAACTCGAGGATCCAAGCTTCCATAAGTTCGTTGAGGACTTGTATAACATAACATCCAGTGTTAAAAACCCTGGGTGTAAGTACCTGCCTCTCGATAATAACTGGACCCCAGACACATTCCACCTTGAGATAGACACACTGCAAAGCAACAAGTTGAATTTGGCTCTGTTTCTAACCTCTTTCTATTTCCTGGAGCGACATGAGCGAGAAGAAACTAAAAAGAAGAATAGAAAGACTAAGAGTGTCAGCTTGCTGGACTACATGCACGAAAGGGAATGCAACAAAATTGAAGACAAGTTCAACGATGCCGTCATCGATAATTACATCAAACTGATCGAAGAATTCGATAAGTTCGTGGTCAAGGTGACTTCTAACTTGCACACATTATCCAACAACGATACTATCCGTCTTTGTTATTTAGCCTCCTGGAGGTTTCTGCTCCACAAATGTACCCTGACGAACATAAAAAGTTTAACACCTGCTAAACAATATGACATCCTCGTCAAGCTATCTGCACATTACAAGTGGTTCAATAAGTTTTCCGTGAACCAGTTTAGTTCCATCGTCCAGATAGATTTACCTGCAGAACTGACCACCGTTTTGGGAACCATCAACTCCAAACTGGAAGGGCATTTCGCGCTCATGCAAAAGCTTGGCAGCCACTACCAGAAACACAGCAATAGGCCTTACATAAACAGTGCTCCGTTGGAAGTCATCTCGGCATACAATAGCATCAAACATTGCTATGACTTGTGTCAAAAAGGCAGCGATGTCGTCAAGATTTTGAGAATCTTCAAGCAAGAAACGAAACTGAAAGCGTTGCTAGTCGAGGTCAAGTCGAAGCTAGACTACTCGGCTTGCGAGCTCAGCCAGGAATTGAGGGACTTGCACCTCAAATGCAGTGGCATGGAGGTCCAGCTTGAGCTAGGCGAGTTCGATTTGAAAGTGTCACCTCTGCTGGACGTTTTCACTCAATTACAAGTGAGAACCGGGATCTTGCGAGTGGATCCCTCGGTGTTGGCCAACGATATCCTAGTGCCTCCTGAGTTTAGTGGGGCCCTGATGCTTTACCATGAGCACCAAAACCCACTTTTGCTCCCCGAGATCATGAGATCGTATTATACGTACTTGATGTACTCAGCTAGCACAAGACCAGGAAGATATTTGAAAAGGGATGGGGATAGGGATGATCTGGTTCTGAGCTGTTTCAGTCCCAGACTCGCTTTTTACTTCAGCTGTCTGTTGGTGGATGATCGAGGACTCGGGAACAGTGCGAGCGTGACTCTTGGAAACTTTAGAGAACTCACCAGAGTTCATGGTGAATTGAGTGGGATTCTGTGGGGGAATGTGTACCAGCTGTCCGAGACGAAATATGATAATTTGTAAGTATTCATAACATGAATTGTACTAGGAATTGATTGATAGGGTTGCGCGGGAACCGAATGACGTAACCTGTCAAACAAGACCAATATGGCGGTTGGATGTTTTCATAAGGGATGGAACTGTTTCTGTTTGTTTGATATGATAATAGGTATTGTTTCCTTGTATGAGTTTTTGTGCGTTTTTTTATATAACTTGAAAGTAATGGCGCTGTGAGTTGAAACCAAATATTGAATGATGTCCATATTTGTGACAGATAGAACATTATTTAATGATTCGAATTGAAAATATTCAATGTCAAAGAAGAGGCTATGTCATTGTTCAGTATCAACTTGAAGAATTAATGAAGCTTCGGAAACAGAAAAAATTCTAAAAAAAAGTGTGCATGTCAACAACCGCCATATTGGTTGTACTGACGATATCCAGCTTCATTGCAGAGTTTGCGTATTGATGATTTTCGGATAGCATTGTTGCCAAATGAAGATCAATCCATCAGAATTTCGAAATAGAAAAATTATCAACAAATTGAAATCTCTCGATCTCAGTGATTATTTTTATGGGAAAATCACGTATCATCAAGAGTGATATTCTTTCATTTTGAACTAACTGACATATCTCACTTGAACTGAACCTAATCAGTTAACATGCATTCTATCTTGTCAGTCGTTCGAAATAACGCATATCAACTGATTCAGTTCTGTTCTAGAGAAATATGACAGTTAGTTCAGATTGAAAGAATATCACTAAGATCAGACATCAGGAAGACTTTGTTTACTTGGCAACTGTGTTCGAAATGGTGTATGGGAGACGGTGCCATTGATGACAAGCATCAATCAATCACATGGCTTGCTAATAGTTTTTAGCTTTGGTGTATACATATACACCGAAAAAATTCAAGAGGTGATTCCTTGTGATATTTCATTACTCAATTGTCATTTCATCAATTCCAATAAAACGTTGTGGTCTTATGAATAGTAATTTAGAACTTCTTCGGGTGCAATTAGATTGGAAATAATATTTCCAGTGGCGTCACAGTGGGTAAATTTATCGATATACATGGTGAATTTCATTCTACGCCACCGGTTTTTTTAAGTTTCATATTTTTATTAGATTGAACTATTTAAATAACAACTATTTTATTCCTTGTGTGATTTTTGTATTCACCTTAGTTTCTGAGGAATCAATAAAAATTCGATTTGACTCCAAATTTAATGTAGGTGTTTTCAAGACTTCCATTGAGATTACTCAATAACCCCAATCACAATTATTTTGAAAGTTTGGGGCTTTCTCAGTCTCCAACCATACTGAATTTTGGCACCATGAAAGCTTATACAGGGGGGTTAGGAATAAAAACAATTACTATTTCCAACTTCAACATCCTGTATCTCAAAAACGGAACAAATTAGGACTTATGTTTATGTGAACTTTATTTGCTAGAATATCACAAGGAATCACTCCTTGAATTTATTCGGCGTTATTTGGATTCACCCTGTATATCTAAAATATTTGCTATTGCATGTTGAATTCTCTCAAAATTTTCAAAGGTCGGTCGATATTGCTTACTGCGCATTCTCAGTAGTGTGATTCTGCGAAATAATAATAATAATAAATGCTTCTATTGTCTCAATGAAACAAAAGGCAGAGTTCAACTCGCCGATAAATCGACAGCTGCTTTTCATCTCAACCATTTTTATTTGTTGATTGTCTCCTCTATCACCTCCAAGAACCATAACTGTTTATAATAGGTATAACATGAACAAATATCAATAACAAATCGTTTAAAAACAAAAGGTTCTTTATTCTTACTGAAATGAAAATTCTTATATTCATCATGCCAAATATTCAGTTCGATCAAATTGTACTAGACTAGTATTTTCTGAAATTCATTTCAAATTTTCTTGCATCGTGTATATTAATATATTTGCTATCAAGTAATTCAATTGTCTAGTTTTATAACAATGAACTGTACTGATTTCATTGAAAGCTAAGATAGATTATTATTTTCCATCCCTTCTTGGCAAAATGACTAAAACAACATATTTTGAGTTTATGGCGCGATAGCATGACCATGTCGATCATATATTATTCGATATATCTTATACTTTCCAAAGCATAACAATATCGTGATACATTCATGACAAGATTGTCGATGTGATTCTAAGTAGGTAACCATCACTACGTCTAAACGAACACCTCCATTTCAGGTATACAGAAAAACGGCAAATCATCAAGATATATGAAACATTAATAGAAGAACTGTTCCACTCGATGAAAATCAACTTTCCAAAGCACCAACCCTTACAAACACTAACAATTACACTAACTGACGCACTGCGGCAATGGAAACACGCCAGTACGTTATCGGATCCACAGGAGGAGCTTGAAAAATTCATAAAACGTCTACAGAAATCCTCTCTGAACCTAACCAAACTCCAAAATTGCTCCACTTTGAACGAAAGTCTTCTAATAATATCCGACTTGTATATGGATCTCGGTTACGTTAAAGCCACTCTGAATTCGAAACTAACACCGATTGATCCCTTGGTGAAAAGAGTTTCCAAAAGGAATTACTGCGATGATTCGATCGCCATGTTCGGCGACATGAAGAAGTGTTACGAAGAACAGAATGCGATATATAGTAACAATGATAGTACGCGACATGCATATTGTGAATCCATAGGAAAACTTCTTGAGGAGTTGACAGTGAAGAGGGGCAAATATGCGCCGTATTTCAGATCGAGTGATGCGCAATACGAACCAGTCTTGAGGGTAAGTTCTATAAAAAATCAACAATATACATAAGAAAACATTTACAAAACTATCATCATGTAAAACATAAATATGACTGCGAAAATAAAATTGATGGTTGGATATTAACTGAGAAATTCTCTTCAACTTTAATGCAACAACATGCCATTCATAAAGGCAAAAAAAATTACAATAAATTGCCTCCTTCTTTGAAAAAAATTCGTTTTTTTCGCTACAAGAAAAAAATTGAATCATAGTTAATTGAGAATTCAGAAATTTTAGAAATTTGATTATATGAAAAATAGTATATTATGTAACAAGTGCTATAAACGTCCTTTTAGTAACGAGTATTTTAAGCACGAGCGGAGCAGAGTGGAGCGAGTGTTCAATAAACGAGTGTCTAGAAGAGTTTATAAACGCGTTACATACTATGCTTTTTCTACGAACTACGAAAATTACATTAACATACCTGCTATTCCTGCTAACCTACAAAATAATTCGAATGGAATGGGAATTGAGAACATAATACATGCAACCAGCGAGACACGTATAAGTGATATTGGTTGTAGATGTGTCCAGTTCATTGCTTACTAACCTTTGTTTCACGTTTATTGTCATGCTTAGAGCAGAATAAATAAGTTGTTCTCAAAGATGAATGCTTCATTTTTACACTTCTTGGAGATATGCAAGTACCAGAACATTCTCTTCGATTTCACTTTCGTCTACTTTTCGCATATATTTTTAATGACGAATTCTGATACAAACGAATATTGTTTGAATAATTCTGATACAAAATTTGAAAATAACAGTTGACAGTGAATACAATTGACAGGCCAGACATGTCTCAAATTGCTGAAGCTGTGTTTAATGAACTGCGTTGCCATGGTAATGTGTTTAAGAAATCGTGTTGCCATGGTAACGTGTTTAATATTTTGAATAAATCACAGATCGTCAATCCGTGATTAATCGATCATTTAGCGTGGTACATATCCGTACGCTAAATGCCATTTTAGTTATGTGAGTAGAAAAAAATACTTATGCAACATATCATGTTTCTTATAGTTATTTTTAGATAATATAAAAATGTATTCATTATGTTGATTGTACTCAATGAGGAAATGAATTTCAGTTAGTCAGTGGGAGAAAAAAAAAATGACATGATCACGGACAAGTTTTCAACTTTTTGGATCATGTTTATATTATAAAAAAATTCATATCTTCTCGAAATATCGAATGGAATATGCAGATTTGAAATGCAATAGATTAGATCCCCTTCAACTTCAACTCATAATATTGATTGTAGATTGAAAGAGGTTCGGACGTATTTCATCCCTCAGTGGTTTTCCCCGTATTTGTGGAGCTTAGTGAGGCATATGGCGTTGTTGTGATGAAATTATGTTTCTCAATAGTTTTCTCTGTGCATTTGGTAATCAATGGAGCACATTAACCATCACATCGAATTTAAATTTAGATATTTTTAAAATTTCCAAAATGTCTCATGTTATCAATATTGGTTGATTCATTGATCCAGTATTTCTTGAAGAAGCTACTGTGCTAGCAAAACATGTCGTGTTGTCAAGTACTTTGTGGAAATCTCATCCTCTCCTATTTTTTTACATTTACTGTGGTTTTAGTCGATACGAAAAAAACACTGAATAATTCTTCGCAACCGTAGGTGAATCACCTTGTATATTTATATATCTATGACAGCCACTGAAATTCTCTGAGATACCCTCCATTTCAACATTAAAATCAATGTGAAATTAAGTATTTACTCAATCGATTTTAAATTTTCAGGTTGTCAATTATGCTTTCTCAACTATCCTATCAGATGACCACGTCACCAAAATAACTTCCACTTTGAACAGCCACATTCTGAATGTTCTTGAAGCGCTTTCCGACCAAAGAGACATCGACCTTGGACATCACGCCGCCGCGCTTTCCAGACACGAATCCATGGTATCTAGCTACGAGAATTTGATCCACGAATGGAACACTTTCTGGGGTAGTTTCCCTGATGTGGTGGAGCCGCTTATCGGTAACATCACCGAATTCTTGTATGGTTTGAAGATGAAGATATTCCTTTTGAAGAAATGTTTAGCTGAGTATGAGTTCACCAAGTTGGGTGTTGATGTCAATAGGCAGTTAGTGAATTTCGTCAAGTTGCCAGTTTTGGATGGGAATCAGAGCAGCTATGAGTCGTATTTGAGCATTTTCGCTGACAAGAATTTTAATAATTTCGTCAACCATGTATTGGAAGATGATGAACACCCTTATGTGAAAAATGAAGAGAGTTTCAGGTTGTTGAAGCTTGGTATTCAAGAAAGTTTCAACTATTGTGTTATTGATGCTAAATCGGCAAATGTGCTGACGAAAAATACGTTCCTAGAATTCAACAACATCATTAACGTCTTTGTTCATGCTTATAATAAACATCAGGAGGAAAAGGAAACTAGAGAAAAAGAAGAAGGAAGTCTGTACAAAATAAAGTGAGTGACAACCTTGTTCTTAAATTTCAGGATTTAATCTCAATTTTCAGGACCAAATGTGATGATAAAACAGAAGACGAACAATCAGAAGAAGAACTGAAAGAACTGTTTCCTAACTATCACGGTATCGACTTTTCAGATTTTCAAAATAATGCCGTTTTGTCTGATGAAGTTGATGAGTCAAATTTAACATTGAAACACAAAGATGTCATTTCTCCTAGCGATCTCAAAGAACTAGTACATTTACATGTTGCTTTGATGAATAGTTTCACCAAAACCGAGTGGTTGAATCCCAGTAAAGATAAAACTATCCATCATGATTTTATACAGCCTGTGATGGAAAAATTCAGAACGTTCGCCAAAATTTTGGCAAAATCAGTGCACAGTTTGGATTATACCATAGATAACAGAATCCTAGGGAGTCTAAGTGTACTGTTAGCTGTGACAAAAAGTCATGGTGAATCTAGTAACCTGTGTATGTATTATTTTTTTGTCACTGAATATTTGGCCGTTGTTTCCTCAGATTTATCTTATTACTGTTGTAGGTGATCAACCAACTTCTCCTACCAGAATGATCAATAAAACGGCTGGGGATTTTTACAAAGATTCCAACGTGGAAGAAGTTAAATCTTGCTACCACATCTTGGAAGAACTGAAAATAAAAACCAATCAACTCTTGAACGAATGGCCTGAACAGCCTACTTTGAAAACGGTAAGATGCAATCTCCATATAGTCAGTCTGAAAAATATTAACTAATACTATAATATTCTAAATGGAGGCATCGTAGATAGACATAATTTCAACACTCAAACACATTTTTATTCACTCTGGACGGTTTGTACAAAGATGACCGTTTATAAAAATACAACATCGACAAGTGATTCGTTCTGATGCTACGACGCTAATGACTAAACCTGCATCAATCTTCGATCACAAGATGATTACGAATACCGATGAGTCGTCGAGGCAGCTTGTGATAAGGCATTCCTTAGGCGTTCTTCTAATTTACGGGGTGATTTAAACATCGTCGCTAACAATACTTATTTTCCAACCAAGAAATGAAAGAAAAACTCTCGAGTCAATCAAACACAAAAAAATTGTATCACAATAAAGCTGTACTGACCCTAGATTGTTGCATGGAAAAATGATGATTTCGAACGATTGATAAATACATGCAAAGTGGTTTTTGTTGAAATTTAAAAAAAAAATGATACTGCGGAAAGAACTGAACATGTGATGAAGGGGGGGTATTGTTGAACAATAATTCAACATATCATGCTATTTGGCTGACTTATTTTTGGTTTCACTGGTATCACGATAAACTACGCTGCGCCGTGGTAATTTTTTAAACATGCACTTTTATTGTAATATTGTGGTATTGTAGTCGACTGACTTAATCTGCACGATCTGATTTTTTTTTTCAGATCATTTTGGTTATCGATAGGATATCATCATTCGACATAAATAGTCCCATCTCCAGATTTTTGACTGGTTTCGAGATTTTGCTAACTAAATGTCACGAATGGGAGCAGGTCGCTCACTCTGGTGTCAGCCTGAGTCAGCATTACCAAAATATCACCGAACAGATCATAACGTGGAGAAAGTTGGAATTGACGATGTGGAAGGATCTTTTGAACAGAACATACGAAAGGTAAAAGCCAAGAATTCAGTTTAAAAATGACAGACATAGAATGGCAACAAGTTTTCAGTGGTTTTCTTTTATTGCAAAATTGCTCTACAGTGCCCGTCTAAATTCCGTTCCCCCCTTACTTATTATTTATGAATCACCTGATATTGTCGCAACTCAGATGTTGACCCTCCTATAGGTCGTGACTTAGCTACTCGCTTGGCTTCTTGACGAGAGGTTTTGATCATTTCATCACCCAACCATATTCATCCCCATATAAAGAGACCGGACAGTTTTCATATAAAATTAACATTTATTGATTAAATGAAGAGGTCATGAATAAATGCAGGTTAGCTAAGCAAAAAGAACATAATGGCTTGCCAAATGAACACAACGCAAAACAAAACTTGAAAAAAACCAGTACTCACCTTATAACGTCTAGGAGGGAGTTGACCAGCAGGCTTGAAGTCGGGGAAACGGCGAACATTTTCAATTGATAATCACTAAAATGACTTGTGTTGATAATCAATGATTGCCTTATCGACTCGGGTACTATTTATATTCGGAATCGATACTAGGTTCGCAATTTTCGGCAATGGGAATGGTCGTTACCTTTCGATACTGCTTACCTAGGTATTATCGCGCGGTAAGCGTTTTTTTTGCAAATTATAAAGGAACTGACGTCTATGAACCCCACTGACCTGATCGAAACTACAATGTACTGAATGTTTTAATTTGAAAAAGTTAATTTATGATAAAAGGTCTTGAAATGAACGGGAGCTTGAGTGATGTTAATTCATAGTCATTTATACTTCTTGACAATATATCACAACAAATTTGGGGAGCTCTATTATTAAATTGTTCCATTTCGAAATCTTCGCTTATTTCACAACACTTTTGACTAATACACTTGTAAACCCAATAATATTAACTTTCGAAAAGTGACATTTTGGTCATTAAAAACTCAACCAAAAACTTGAATGTTGTTTTCAATCAAGTTTGCTTTGGAAAAAAGTCATTATTGATAGAAAGCAACATTCCAAAATGTCACTAAGGTGTTTTAGATGAAACTGTTGAGGATTTCGAGGAGATTTCAAAAATGGAATAATGTATTTAAAAGAATGATTCAAGATAGCTATCAGTTTTCCTTGAAAAGGTAGGTTTTAATCTATTTGAGCCTTCCCAACTTCGTTGCAATATACCGGATGGTTCGAAAGTTAATGAGGGAACGAACTCAAGACGGGCACTACTTTCTTATCCATTTCAGAATGAACGAATCCTTGGCAAAATGGTGGCTATATTTGTTCAATATAATGAGGCAATTCATAGTGGAAAAACTGTTCACGGTACAAGAACTGATCGAAACTTTGCAAAACTTTCTATCCAAGTCGAATCTGGCCGAATTCCATGGCAGACTCGACCTAATCCGAGTGTTCCACTGTCATGCCACCTATCTGGAAAGAACCAAAGAATCGGAAGAATTCATAAATGTCTTGTGGAACTTACAGAGTTACTTTCAACAGTTCGGTACTACCGTCTCAAACAAAATCAAAGACTTGAGATCGCCGATAGAGAAGAAGCTCAAAGAGTACGTGAAGATCGTGAGATGGAAAGATATAAATTACTGGGCGATAACAGACACTGTGGACAAATCTCACAAAACGTTGCACAAGTATATGAGGGAGTTTCAAGATGTACTGCTTCAGCCAGTGTCGTCATGTTTGCACAATACCAACGTTAACACGGCAAATGAGAATGTCGGTATTTGGGATAGGCCGCAGAGGCAGGTCCCGAAAACTTATCATTACACATTGGATCCGGAAGCTTACATGGCCAAACATTCCCTAGTCAAGGTAATCGTCAACCGTAAACGGACAATTTTCCGCTCAATTTTGACACCCTGTAACTGAAGAGCTACCAGTTGTAACGATTGCGGGGAAACATATGTTGGTCAAACTAGGAGACCTAGTATAACTAGGTTCGAAGAACATCTATACATTCGAAATGTGGTAGATATTGGTGAAATCAAATGAAGTGGACTTCACAGTCTTATAACAGACTTTATGAAATCGAAATTGACCGAACAAGTTGATGATTTTTTAAAATTACAGTGGAGAAACATGCTTTGGCAATATTCAGAATGATAGTTTTTCAGTTATACTCCAGGAATTGATACATTTTTTCTTCTCTTGATAAATTGATGCTCCCCCAGCCAAAGAATAAGAGGCTTATTTCTGAATATGTGATAATAATCCAGATACATAGACCAATTTCGAACTTACAGGGTGGCAAAGTTTGAGAAGAAAAATCGTGGTTTTCTTTGAATCTTTTCGTAATTTATTTTGACAAACAATTTTTATTTCAAAGATTATTTTTTCCTCAGAAAATACAATTGAGTGAAACAGAAGAAAACCAAGGCTTATTGAGCAAAACTGAATCATACTTCCTGAAATCCAGGAAACTTTGTAAGGACACCATTTTGGCGACCAAATACCCAAGCTTGGTGCAAAGTTTGGACAGTTTTGTATCAACCATAATCGAAACTAGTTCACATTTACAGAATTTAGAGGTTCGTAGTATAAGGCGATCGAAAACAAACCCTCAATAATGTTTTCATTTATTTTCAGGTTGATAAGAATATTCCTAAAGAAAAGCAGAAGGGACAGGCAAAAAGTATTCTGCAACAAAAACACAGAGCATTGGCTGACTTGTTCAAAACGCTCAGTAAAATCGGTTTATCTTTCAGAACCGGAATCATCGAGAGCAAACTGAAAAATCCTGCTTCTGATTTTGTTCTGAAACCAATCGATTTAAGTGCAAACTTCAGTTTCATAAATCATGGGTAAGCACAAAAAAATATCAAAGAAATAATTGATGAACACATGAATTAAGGCAATAATTATAGTCGGAAAAATTCTACTTCTACTCTTACTCTTCCTCGTAAAGGACTTTGAATACATGAATTCGTCGTTCTAAACGGGTTTTGGTATAGAGAGTTGTTTGACAATTCTCAAGGTCGATGGCAAATAGTATCTTCTTTGTTATTCAATAATTTTTGTTTTGTTGTTCAGGAGAAAAGAAGAAAAAATATTGACCATCTGGGATTCTTGTGAACTGTATTACGTGAGATCTTTAATGAGGTCAGACGTTCTGGAAACGGCTATGAAAAATCCTGCCAAAGATCTTGGATTACAAAATATCGAAAGATGTAAAGGGTTCAGCTCCAATCTATTGGTAAGCAAAGTTTTCAGCATCTCTTGCAATGCATTAATGTGTTTTTTTGTTATCAGTCACTGGCCCAAAATCAGAAATCTGTATTAACAGAATCGACTAGGACATACTCGTATTTGCGATACTATTCCAAACAGATGAACGAATCCTGTGAAGGCAAAATATTTTCGCACATATCTTCGCTTGATAATATTGTAACCTTACTCAAAAACATCGGTATTGTCATGAATCAGTACAAGATAATACTCAATTCTTGCCCGGAGAAAACCATATTTGACAGCGATATCGTTGAAGTTCCCATCCTAGAATCCGATGTTAAAGAACGCATTCTACAAAAACACGATGCCCTTTGGTCCAAAGCTACGAATTTGATTAACGAAATAACAATGAGCTCCAATAAGTTGAATGTGAACATTTTCAAATGGAAGGGGGCAGTACCTGCAGTGGAATATGACTTGATAGTACCAACATTTGTGCCATTACCAGATAACAACACTATCCATGAAGATTTGGCTGAAGTCCAAGAAAATATCAGGAGTCTCAAAGTAATATTGGGCAATACTGTCATGACTCAAAGCCTTTCTTGGCTAGAATCAGAAATTGATTATGCTGAAAAAGATTTAGAATCTGAACATCATGACAGTAACATAAGCGTAGAGGTTTTCAAAAAATCTATTGAAAGCTATACAGAACAAATGCTTCTCGTGATGCAAACTCTTTACAAGAAGTACGCACAAACTGTTGATGACTCCAAGGTTGACACAGTCGAAGAAGATGATGAACAACTCTGCGATGACCAGTTGAAAAAATTGCTAGTTGAGAATCTATCGTCCGATTTAGCTCTGTTGGATATGAAAAAAGTGCTGAGGAAAACCCATGACATCGCCAAGGTTTTGCTAGCCTTGAATCCGAGAGGTTCGGAAAACCATAAGAGTATGGCTCTTCAAGTTTTGCCTATACTAGAACAACTGATACATCTCTACCAGTACTTCATAACCCAACAAGTGTCCACCTATAGGGTCACTTGCAAAATGTGTTCAGTGTTGCTCAACATCTTTATAGAACTAGCATCCAAGGTAAAGTCACCAGTTTATGATATATTGCAGTTTCACAGAACTAAAATAATGGAAATGTATTGCCAACAATGTATCTAATACATATATAAAATTCTCCTGTCCCGGTCGCGATTTTACTACGAAAGTACGAAAGTACTTATTTAGGCAAAACTCAGAGACTATTTATCCTTAACGAACTAACCTATCCCTGATTGCAATATTTTTGAGGAAGGAAAACCGAATGGAGTGTAGAAACACATTGATTAATAATATATTTCAAAAGTTGAGTTCTTCAACAAAATTGAATAAAATGAGACTGTTTATCCTAAACGCACTAACCTATTTGAATTCAAATATTTTATGAAAAAGGAAAACCAGAATGAAGTAAAAAAACATTGGTGAAAAAAAAAAGTTGCAAAAAAAGTTCAAGTTCACAGCGATTTGAACCATGGACCTTCAGACTGAAAGTCGACAGCGCTAACCAGCAGACCATTTGGGTGTATGAATTTACTGCGTACAAGAGATTGACAACGAGAGAGCTTCAGTCGAATTCGTGTCAAAATCATAAAAAGTGTATTCTTGCGTTGGAGCACAGTATATTTAGTGCGATGTGCTGACTCCGAGTATATCGGTAATGTTTGGAGATATGACGTATCATGGTGGGCGTGGTTTGTGCTAGCGTGCAGTATATTTAGTAAAATCGCGTCCCGGTCACGGTGTTAATGGTCGAACTCCTCCGAAACGGCTCGACCGATTCATATGAAGTTTTTGTGCGTATTTGATAGGTATGAGAATCGGTCGTAATCTATTTTTTAAATCGAAAATTCGAGATGGCGGATCCAATATGGCGGACGAGTATTGTTATCCGATTTCATTCAAAATTGGCATTTGGGGGTTTTCGGGGTTGGAGATTATGATACTTTCGTCAAATTTTGGAAATTCAAGATGGCGGATCCAATATGGCAGACGAGTTTTGTAATTATGGTCAGATTCCATTCAAAATTGGTATCTGGGGGTTTTCGTGGTCGGAGATTCTGATTTCTTCGTCAAAATTAGGACATTCAAAATGGCTTACCCAATATGGCGAACGAGTTTTGTACATATGATCCAATTATATTCAAAATTGGTATCTGAGGGTTTTCGGAGTCGCAGATCATGGTTCGTTCGTCAAAAGTTGGAAATTCAAAATTGCGGATCCAATTTATGATAATAATGTTTATTCACGAATTCATATAAATATTTTTACAGGTTTACATGGTATATATAATTTTTATTAATAATAACTTTTCACAATAATATTTCATCATACGATACAAAACCATAATATTCAACATTAATAAAGGTAAATAAACCAAGAAAATCACAGAAGCTGTGCAGACAGCTTGTACGTGAGAATTTTAACTATATCCATTCATAAATATGTTTATTTTGGGAGACTTTGTGAGTCGTGAACATCATTTACAAGGTTATAGGTAACATACGTATAATTAAGATCTGGCGGACGAGTTTTGATATTATGGTCAGATTCTATTCGAAATTGGTATCTGGAGGTTTCAGAGGTCGGAGATATGAATCATTTGTCAAAATGGGGAAATTTAAAATGGCGGATTCAATATGGCGAACGGGTTTTGTAATTATGGTCAGACTCTATTCAAAACTGGTATCAAGTGGTTTTCGGGTCGGAGATTATGATTCTTTCATCAAACTTACGAAATTAAAGATAGAGGATCCAATATGGCGGACGAGTTTTGTAATTATTAAAAATCTGTATCTGAGGGTTCTCGGGGTCGGAGATTATGATTTTATTCTTTAAAATTGGGAAATTCAAGATGGCGGATCCAATATGGTGAAAGAGCTTTGTAATAAATAGTAGTTTGAAAAACTATAATGAAACACGCTTTTATAGATAGCCAAACTCGAGACCAAACTGAATAGAAGTAGAAAATTGATAGTATAGTTTAAAAAACGAGATAGATTGTCGAACTAAAAAGAAGTAGAAAATAAAAATAGTAGTTTGAAATACAAGAAGTGTAAAACAAAATTATAAAAGTGTGTTGATGAATATTTAACTAAAAAAATATTTTCTAGAAGAAAATGTACATAGCAAAACAACGCGTGCCAGGTCGTATCAGCATCAGCTATAATAAATAGTAGTTTGAAAAACTAATGAAACACGTTTTTATAGATAGCCAAACTAAAAAGAAGTGAGTAGTAAATAAATGAAAAAATGAAGAGATATAGGGTGCCGAACTAAAAAGAAGTAGAGAATAAGTAGAATAGTTTGAAAAACTAAATAATCCCGTTTTTATTGATAGCCGAACTAAAAAGAAGTATAAATAAAATAAGTTCTTTGATGAATATTTATGTAAAAACATTTTTTCTAGAAATAATGTTATGGCAAAACAACGTTTGCCGGGTCAGCTAGTATAAATCTAAGAATTTTAATATTGATGACAAAAATTGTGGATACCACTCAGACTTCTTCTGTTATCCCTCATTTTTTTAGGGCTTTTGCGTACCTCCAGAACTGTCCGACGAAATGGACAGCGAAGGTGTCAGCAAACCTTCGGACGGACTCGGTTTAGGGGAAGGGGAGGGGGAGAGAGACGTTTCCGACAAAATTGAATCCGAGGATCAACTGGACGATGCTCAACCTGCTGGCCAAGAAAAGCAAAAGGACGAAGACGAGGACTGCAAAGAGGAGGAGAAGGGAATCGAAATGAGCGAAGATTTCGATAGTAAATTACAAGTAAGTAAAGTTAGATAATGACCAATGACCAATCTAATGAACTCAAACATCTAGGATAAAGAGAAAAAAGAAGACGATGACAGCGATAGCAATTCTGGAGATTCGGGTGCGGAGGAGCAAATGGGAGAAACCGGCAAAGAAGCTGATCAATTGGACCAGGAAATTTGGGGATCAGACAAGGAAGAGGAAGGTGAAGACCAAGAAGAAGGTAGGAACTCCAAATTTCCATAACCGTTTGCTCACACATCACACACTTCGATGGGGAAGTTTCCTTTAGATGAATTTCCATAAAACAAGTTTCGGAAATTTATCCATATTGATGATACCGCGGCAACATCGTTCTGACAAAGAGGATCGTATTTCAACTCTGTATGATATGAGAAGATAAAATAAGTCATTTTATTGGCCTCACATTTGCATTGACGTATTGTTCACCTTTAGCCATTGTCGCTAATGACATCTCATTAAGTTTATCTTTATATCTTTGTTACTCATTACAAATGTTGCATCATCTGCATACAAAAAGGTCATCAGTCATGTCAATATATGTGGGTAGATCATTAACATATATAATGAACAAAAACGGTCCCAAGATAGATCTTTGAGGTACTCCTGAATGTGGCTTTTCACAAGGTATGTCATGGGAATGGTGAAGGAGCCAAGTTCCTATTTCATTTATTTTTTTATCAAGTGAAGTTTGATCTTACGAAACAATGAAAGAATACGTATACTGGGTGTAAAAGGATCATGGTACCATTTTGAATAACTTAATTTGGTGATAAATCAAGAAATTCTACTTTTCATATGTTGATATGAGTACATCAGCCTCAATTAGAAGAGTCAGGGCATACTAAGACGGAAAATCAAAAATTAAATTAAAATCATTATTCAAGTTTGAGATGTCACTTATGTGGTATCATTGGATTTAGAAAATGATACAGAATTCAAAAATATAATGATATACAGGGTGTTCCATATGGAAATCGAAGGTAATTCCACTTCCGGTTTCGTCAAAACATTTACGTTTATCAAGATGATGGAAACGAGAAATAGGGAGTGTACAATGATCCTGTAATACCCGGTATGTCAAATGTTTACTCTCAGTTAGATGAAAAACTCAATATTGGAAACGTCCCCATTGCAGGATCGGACCAAAAAGAAGAAAAAGGCGACAAGGGAGAGAAAGAAGGCGAAGACCAACTCGGAGCCAAAGAGGATTCCAGCAAGAACCAAGAAGACAAGGACGACAAGACATCTTCAGAAGACAAAGAGAAGAACAAGAAGGACATCAACGAAATGGAGGACCCGGAGTACGACGATGACCAAGTCGATCCACACCACGGCAACCAACCAGAGTTGCCGGAACCGGAACCGATGGACCTACCGGACGATTTGCAGCTGGACGACGGTGAAGAGAAAGACGGTGAAACCCAGGAGGAGAATCCGTTCGACATCGACGCCATGAAGGAGCAGAATGTCCCCGAAGACAAGAAAGAGGAAGAGGTAAACCAAGATGCAGAGAAGCACGATGAAGCCGAAGACTTCAGCAGCGACGACGAAGAAATCACGAGAGACAATAAAAGTGAGGAAGGTGCAGCCGAGGAAGATGAACCGAAGCTAGGTGAAGATCAACCGGAAGTAGCCCAGGAAGAGGATTGTGGCGAGAAAGGAGTGGAAGAATCTAGAGAAGAGAATGAAGAAGCAGATCAGGCAGACCAGACTGAGGATAGCGAGGAGACTGGTCTGGATCAGACCCAAAGTCACCAGGAGAATGTTGAGGCGATGGAAATTGAACATGCAGAAGCAACAGACAAGGTGAGTATACACCTTTGCTGACACTTTTCTGTCCTTTGGAGCGCACGAAAGGGAATCCCCATAATTTTCGAAGAGCATCGTGCATGCCTTGGGAGGATAGGGAGAGGAGGTAGGTATTAGAATTTATTTGAACGTGAAAGGAAAGAAACGGATTATCCTATGAATAGCTGGTAGGTGTTTTTTTTTTTTTTAAATTTTTGTTGGATATATTATGTATATAACCATTCTCTTTCTTTTTTCAACCTATCTTATGTTAGAAAATCAAGATGAAGACTTGAATTATTTTGATTTTTTGAGATTTTTCAACTATTGTTTCAGGATTGCTTCTTTTCTAAGGTCGGTATGTAAGTAGATGTATATCCCGGGTTTCCCAGAGCATTTAGGCCAGCAGATATAATAATGATAATAATAATAATATAATCAGACCCCTAACCTTAGTTTTTCAACTTGCACCCCGATGTGTTTAATCATTTTTGCATTTATAAATTTCGATATGTTGATTTCTTCTCATGATTGTAGATGTCCTCGAAATCTATAAAATATTACATCTAATACTAGAAACCTCCAGTAAATTTATCATTTCCTTCATAAAACACAATCGACAACTTGTGTTTTCTGCAATGGAGTCAAATTCTTCAATCAAACGTTAATTATTTCTTGAACTAAATCTCATAACTCAGAGATCTAGGATGAATAGAGTTGTCCCAATTGTCAACGGGAGCGAGACAATACTGTTTCGGCCCACCAAGCCTCATCAGTCTCTCTCGGTCTGTGCTGATAACTGTCATCACTATCACCCATATCCCAGTATGGGGAGTGGAAAGCCCATCAATGGAATTTATGCCTGCTGATTGACCGTCGGAAAAACGTCGCTTGGAGTGTCCTTTTCTTGATGGCCCCGTACCAACGTTAGTTTTGCCGTAGCATCTAGTGATGGAACCAATGCACACACTGTTGTCACTAGTGGTTTCAAAACACTGGGTTTCATTATCAGACAGTCCAAATGGTTGTCTGGGGTATTAAAACCTACTCACTCCTTTTTGATGCGCTTGTGAGGTCAAAGTTTGAATATGGCTGCGTTGTTTGGAATCCTGGATATATCACATATAGTGAGAGTTTAGAGAATATTCAGAGGCGATTTCTGAAGTATATCAGTTTCAGATGTGATGGCTTCTATCCGGCGCGAGGTGTACCGTATGATACACTCCTTTCTAGATTTCAAATCAATTTCCTAGGCAAACGTCATACATATTTGGGCATTTTATTTTTATATTGGCTTATTGACTAGTCATACCTGCTTGCACATATTAATTTGCACATTCCTAGGCTACCTGTACGTAGTTTCATCACGTTTTACCTGCCAGTCGCCCAAACAAATGTTCTTCTTTTCTCGCCTCTGTATAAAATATGTCGTGATTACTTGTCAATTCAGAATAGAATAGATATTTTTTACTGCAAACCAACAGATATGAAAAGGGTTACTCTATCATAATATGATAAGAAGAAGTATTTTTGGTTCAAGTCCTAAAAATGTCTGAAACCTAGAGGCCAAACACCATGGGCATGCTGCTTCAAACGGTACACACAATAGCTATATCACTAATTATCAGAAAATAGAGAATATATCACTATTGTTGGTTGTTCCTATTTGCAGGAATAATTGATTGAACAAATCAATCAATTTCCGACTGCTTGCCCGAACTCCGCTTCGCGTCGTTCGGATCAACGGCATTCGCGTGCGGAAAAAAGTATAACTTTCGGCACTTGTTAGGAAAATTCCTATTCCTAATTTTTTTCCAGACTCAGCCCAATCGATCGGAGACCCAGAAATCCAGCCAGCCGATCGAGGAGCTGTGCCAAGAAGATAAGCCCGATCAGGAGGGGGTCGGTCAGTCCCAGATGGAGGAGAGCTCCACGGGCCATTCGGCCCCGACATCCGCGCCGCAGGAGATGAAGAGCGCCAGGGAGGAGCAGAAGGAGGATCAGAAGAGGAAGCAGAAGCCCGGCGAGTCGGATTCGCAAAGGAGTTTGGGTGAGTGACAGAAAATGCGACCCATGTAATCTATATTGTCCATCAACCCACTTATATTCTACCTATCTTTGGAGAGGAAAGCCCTGGTGAGCCCAGTCTGACAACATCGCCAGCCATTCGCACAAATTCGATATATGTGTTCTGGATGTAACAGAGTGATTGTTTTTAGTTTTCAAGATTGTTATCAATGTGAAATATTGTTGAAAGCCAGTGAACAAAAATTCGTGTGATCGAGTTATGAATGGAAGGGTGTTTGTGTGTGTGTGGGGAAGGCTCATTAAAAATTCTTTTTGAATTGAGGTTATGTTTTATGTTGTCTTATTTCTGGAAGCAAAGTGGGTAACCTCAACCTTTCTCATAAGAAGATGCCAAATAATTGCTGTGTGGCAAGGTGAAAATCGAATTACGTGTGGCAAGTTGAAAATCGAATTACGCTTCGGAACAGAAATATGTTTTGATGTTAAATTTCCTAAAGATGAAAAACTGCGAAAAAAGTGGATATCTTCGATACCTCGTTAAAATTGGTTCCCATCTCAACATTCCACAGTGTGTGCAATTCATTTCGTTGAAACAGATATTATAGATATGAAACATTTCCTCTGCCGGATGGATCCCACAGTTAGTTAAAACAGCAGTTCCCTTTATTTTTCGAAATTTACCAAGTTATCTTTCTGAACCTAATACATCAATAATGATAAATCCTTATGAGAGGCGACAGAAATGTTTAGCTGTTAAAAAAAAACAGTTGATTTTGAAAAATCCGACCTTATTCTCATTTACAACCAGGTAGTTGGAGAATATGCAGAAAATATGAAAATTGATAGGTGTTGGTATAAGACAGAAAGTAAAATTTATTTTCTTCTATCAGTTCCCCAGTCAGATGTACTGAAAATAACTTCCCAAGTTATAATATTGAATGAGATGCAGGTCCAAATTTTACTAGGTGATAAGTTGGGATTCAATGATTCAAAATGGAATATTCCCTATGATATGAAATTGAGTAGGTGGTCAGAACTTCAGAATATTCTAGCAAGATACAGAAACAGCTCAGATCACACAAAGAAAAAAGAATAATCAGACCAAGGAACATAAAATTAGCTGATTCGAAAATCCTCATATAGTATCTTGTGAAAATCGCTTACCCCATTCTAAAACCTCGAAAGTTTGATTAATCAATTGAAACAAGTACCATTCAAAAATATATATTCTTCTACAATAATACAGTATGTATTTAATGTTATACAACACTTCTCATTCTGTGTATGAACTCATTAGGATTATAGGATTCAATAACTTGAATGGTTTATGTTAAATGGGACTTGCCAGTTGTTCATTTCATCCAAGAAACTGAATAAAACCTGAACTGTGACCTGACCCATTATTTCTTGCTATTTTTTTTTCATTGAAGTTCAATTATTTATTTCAAAGACAGAAATTAATGTTACATTAGCGCGGTTAGCGGTAATGTACCAGTGTTTGCCGTCGCTGTGGTAGCCAGTTGAGAGTAGACCTTCCGGATTACAGCTATGCGGTGTTGCATTTCTCTCACCACGGCTTGTTATAGAGCCGGCTGTGCTTATATGGAAATGAAAAAAAATAGTATATATTCCAATTTTTCATTTTTGTAGGTGATATAAATGAACCTGTGAAGAAGAAGCTGAAAACAGTTGATGGCAAGAAGGATGATGGAGATGAAGATGAAAGTAGCGAAAATAAACAGGATGACACAGTGGAAATGTTTCAACATATAAAAGATGCCAAAGAAGCTGAAACACAGGTGAGACAAAAAAAATACAATACCCTTATGAAAATCTTCCTATCGAACACTCCAATATTTGGGGAGCAGAATTTAGTCAAACTTATGGAGGGCAAACTATTGCATAACAAATTCAACACAGGAAATACACGATGAAAAAATATGTTGAAGTAACAAATACAGGACGGTCTTTTAATAATTGTAGTAAATTTTCGACTTCAAATTATCAACTCACTATGATAAAATATAAGATACAAGAGATACAGGGTGTCAAAAGTAACATTTTGCTGCAAGATGGCTCAAATAATGATATTTTGATTTCAAAAATCTACTATACTTCTATGTACAATACCGACGCACGCAAGAAGAATGATAAACGGATAAATTTCGAACTCACTAACACACTCACTTGTCATTTTGCAGATGTTGGATACTGCGACCAAGGAGCAAGCAGAAAGCCAGAAAAAAGAAGCAGAGCAGAAGGATGAAGAAGACAATGAAGATATTGCAGATTCTTCTAAGGATTTGCCTCGGGACGAACCGTCAGAAGAAATGGAAGTTGAAGAAATCCCACCTATCGAGAACTCTGAAAAAGTCGAGAAAACTAAAGACAAAAAGACCAGAAACAGACAACACCCTGAAGGTATGCAACAACTTCAATCATTGAATGGAATGATAAGGAAACTTATGAGTTCAGAAATGAAACAATTTCGACGTCTTTTTATAGAATACAATAATGTCGCTTTCAGGCAATAAGGAAAAACATCCATATTCGTTTTCAAACCAATGTTCTACATTAAGAATGAGAAACTCTAGATATTTGCATGAATTCGACATGTTCATCAACTCTCGTCTGAATAATTCTCTTACTCTGACCAACATATGAAAATTACAATTCAAAGTAACGATGGCTCTTCTTCAACGATTTCAAAACATTATTTTTCCATCGACCTGTACGAAAAATAGAATGTTATTTCTGTACGGAAAATCGACTATTTTTGAAAGCAACTACTTTTCGTCCGCATCAGACACTTTTCGTCTGCAAACACTTTTCGTCCGCTGTGGTCACTATATTGTCACTATGATACTGCATGGTGCGAGAGCAGCGATTGAGTTGCCAATAACTGTCACTTTCTGTTGTCAAATTGATTATTTACGAAATCCGATAAATTTAACGTGTGAATAAGACCGTGGTGTGAGAATAAAGTAATCAAGGTCGACTAAAAAATGTAATATACACCTCTGCGAAAAACTGTCTATTGTCTCGCCTGCTTGCTAGCCTCGCCTGGGCCTCGGCTATCATTTTGCATGCTCGACTTCAATATATAGTTTTACATCCTTGGTACATCAATAACTATTATGCAAGACCGGGCGTAAAGTAGCACGTCACCGCCCGGTTTTGCGGGCGTAAAGTGGCACTTCAGCGCCCACGGACTGCTTTATCGCCTGGCATTGCTTCAAAGAAGCATCTTTTTGCCACTTTACAAGAACTCTAGCCTTTCCAAGGAGCCCAAATATTACTTGCTTCATCAGCTTCTGATACAGGTCACTCGTATGATAGCTCAGTTGTGTTTGAGTAATATTATCAAGATAAAATTGATGTTAAATGGCATGTCCCACTTGATTGACCCCAATCAAATATGCTCAGTTTGCGATCACCATGATAATGAAACCGTTCGTCACATTTTGTTTGAATAACCAATTTATGCAAGTACGAATCCTCACTGTGAACCACTTACGTCTTTCGCCCTTGGACAGTCTGTCAAGAGAGGATTTGAGGATCATATCTTGCTATATATAGAATATTCTTGAACTCAGGTCCATTTATTTCGAATGAATAGGTAGGAATAGAAATTGTTGTTCTAAAATTGTTCTATCCGTCATTCGGTTGCCCCCTTACGAGCAACCCTCAGAAGTCTTCGAGAGTCTTGTGCGAGCAAGGAATGACGGGGGTCTTACCTTTTAACGTGTGATCCCAAACACTTTCTTGGGCCATCAGCAAATATCTGCAGTCGACGGGACTCGAACCCACGACCGGCAAGCGAATGCGGATTAGAATATGGACACTCTGTCCGCACGGCTATACCTTGGCCCCCAAATGATTCAACTCACTCTTATTTATTATTAGTATTTGTATTTTTTTCTCTTTCTCTTAGATTAATAGTCACAAAATTAGTCTATATCTGACCTTTGCTGTAAAACTATATGGTTTTAGAAGCAATAAAGATATATTATATTATTATTATAAAAGCCTATTTCATTTAGCTCGGGCGCCAGGTTCTTCAAGTTGGAGATTTACTCCACCTATTCCTACAAACCGAATTTATCAAGTGGCCTAGGTAGCAACAGTGACGTAAGTCATAGGGTATGCCTATAGTAAACTAGGAATCGATGTTATAAATGAGACCTGGATCAGGGATCAGGATTTCCAACAAATCTCTGTTGGAAATGGTTTCTTGTAGTTTATTTCAAGCCTGAAAACTTCTTGATTCAAACTATTTCGTTGAATCAGAAACACGGTCTCAACCCCGGAAACAGATTCAATTCATATTCATTCATTTAGGAGAGCATCAGCTAGTCTTGACTATACACCGCTATACACCACATGAACCCTGGGGTAAAGACAAAAAAATCCTCAATTTTGATTGGTTGAAATCCCCAATCTCATCATGTCCACGTATATATGCTGGGTTTGAATTCGAAAGCACGTCATGTCAACCTTGAGATCACAAAAACGCGGAAAAACTGCCCCTTCAAAAATAACTATCCCGTTGCAGGTGACGTACTGGAAGACCTGCAAGACATCGACATCGAAGGCGACCTCGTGGACACCGCCACGGTACCCCGAAGCGCAGAATCCTCCCACCACACCCAATACGCCACCATCTCGGCAAACACTGCTGATCGCATGTCCATGGAGCAAATCAACGCCCTCAGACTGGAGGTGGAACAGCAGCTCTCCTCCTGGCAGGAACCGCCTTCGTCCTCTGAGGCCGAGCAAGCCTGGCAGAAAATCAGCGCGGCCACTTCTTCGCTGGCCCAGGAGCTCTCCGAGCAGCTGAGGCTGGTGCTGGAGCCTACCCAAGCGAGCAGGCTGCGAGGGGATTTCAGGTAGGGTTGCCGCTCGTTCTGCATCTCGCTGGACATCATGAATGGGGCAGTTTTCGTCAGATGAAGTTTCATAAAATGAGTTCGGAACTCCTCGGTTTTTATATCCACGCTGGACACAATGACGATCGATAGAGTCCAAACGTTACCACCGATACAACAAGGCCTGCATGCTCCGTGGGTGACGTCACTTAGTCAGGCCTAACCAGCGGCTCGAAACGACAAGCGCTTATAGCGCTATAAGGCGACCGCGTTTTTCGATTTTAGTTTTAGATCATTATTGAACCGATTTTGCTGTTTTTTGAAGGGCTTCTGGTTGAAAGAGGATGCCAGTCGTCAACTGAGCCCTTCTTCGCACCCCATTCGATTTTATTATGGAAAAACGAAGTTTTAAAGCAAAAACCAGGATAAAACACAAATATCCACCTACAGCAACCCATTTGAAATAAATATATTGGCAAAAATTGTGGTGAAGGTAAACTTCACACCTACTTATACAGGGTCCGCAGAACATAAACTTATCGTGAGATTGATCGAAAGAAAATTGTGGAAAATGTATTTTATTTTGATTGACATGCCGTTTGTTACAATTACATATATTTATCTTGGAGAATTCCTATTACCTGAAAAAATAACCAGTGAGTGTTTTCAATTTTCTGTTGTTGGATTTTTCACCCAAGTGGATCGTTACACTTGAAACCGTAATTTTTAAGGGTAAAACTGCATTTATCATGCGATGGTTTTTTTTTGAAAATTTTTTTCGGTACTCACGTATTTTTGTCTGATAAACCGAATTTTATAATGAAAATGTGAACAAACCACTATTCATTGAGATATTTCAAGAAAAAGTTCGAAATTTCGCCTTCTTTCTCCCCTTGTGTTGGGGGCATTTGAAGCTACTTGCTCTTATTTTGTCATTGAACACTTTATATACTCATGATGTACTTTGATGGCACATTTTTATATAGAAAATTCAACAGGAAATATGATTCTTATGGCGAGTTTTTCATATTTAGTGAACAAGCATTCCAGATGACGACCATTTAATCAATAGTCAATCAAAATACGAGATGTCAAATGTCAATAGATTGCTTTCGAATGACATTACACACGCCATTATTTTGAATGATATTCTTCCTTATTTCACTAAATATGGATTAATCTCAAGAAAATCATATTTATAGTTGAATTATATTTAAATTGTCCAATATAATGAAAAAAGAAGGGAAATTTGTTCTAAATGCCATCCAGAAGACAGGTGAAAAAGAAGGTGAAATTAAGACCTTTTTAGTCAAATATCTTCATGATAAATATCATGATTAATGCAGTTTTACCTTTTTAAGTAGAGTGTTTGTAGTTCATGTTAATATGATTGTTGCAATTTGATCATTGGAATGAATTCTGCATTCATTGCCACGAGGAAAATGACCGATTTCAGAAAGAAATTTGAGAATGAGAATTAAAAATGCCCGTTTATTATGAACATTCAAGAAAATTTCCTCGAATTCAGAGATGATTTTGTTGACTATAATATACGAATACAAAACTAACTGCACAATCAAAGCTTTTCTATTTTTCCTCTAATTATACTTTTTATGAGAGAGTAATTGTCTTCTATTATTAATTCATCATTATAAATTAAGCTCTGTTTACTACTGAACTTAGATGGAGTAAAATCCTCGCGGTGAATTGCATATACCCACATTTTCGATAGCTCCTCGTCCAACGGGAAACTAAAAGCATGAACTTTTGAACCACCCACATAATTCCCCCGACAAAAGGGAACACAACACTTGAAAGGCATTGTTATTTCGCCGATCACAACACAAAATATTTCACAAAACAGTAATTTTTCCACCAATTATTTTGATGAATAAACAACAAAAGAATTCGGGACCGTTTCAAAAACATACGTGAATCACCGATGAATTAACACGAACTGACGCGTTAGTCGACAAGCGATAAAATAAAACACTGGCCTCTCTTGGTGACGTCACGTGCTGTTTACGTCAGAGTCTGCTGGCCTTGTTGTATCGGTGGTAACGGTCCAAATTGTTTTTATTTTCAAAATGAAGCATTTGCAACTCTGACGTACATTCTGAATCTATAATCTGAATATAGCTGATAATGAGGGTTACATACACAAGGTGATTCTAAAATAGGTGGTCAAACTTTGGGAGCATATAGAGTGGGTGAAATAGTTACGAAAACCTCCGTAACATTTTTTTCTGAAGTGACCCCCAAGAAAGATACAAACCCTCAAAGGGGGGCCTCGGAGAATGATTTTGTATTATTATCTCCAACACCTTGTATAATGAAAATCTGAAATTATGTCCATCCACTTACTATTCAATGCCGGTTCGAATGGAGTTAAAATCACCACAAAATTAAATACAGGGGTGTGTCAAAATAGGGAGGTAGGGCGTAAAAATAACCCCAACTTTTTTGTTCATCGCAATTTCAGTTTTTTGACATGAAATTATGAAATCTCATGGCTATTTACATATAAAAGGTGCTTTTGTTGCATCCCAAAAAATGAACTATAAGCGAATAAAATTTATTTTTTCAAGATTTCATTTAATTTGCGATTCTGGTATGAACTTAGAACCTGGCAGATGACAGTTGACAATGCATTATGGCGGCTCCAATGTGGCTGACCTTGTGATTATGGTTCGATTCGATTCAAAATTGGTATGTGAGGGTTTTTGGGGTTGGAAATTTAGAATTCGTTGTCGGAATTCATGAAATCAACATAGCCGACGAATTCAATTGTCTCGTATGACGATCATGTGATGACCATGAGTTTCTGAGTTTCTTACCAAAACAAAATTGGATTTCAGATTATTGTTCATTATATTATATGATACTTCCTTATACCAGAACTTGATTCTGACTGGAAGTCACATTTTCAATAAATAAAATAAAAATTTTCAGGACCGGCCGCAGGATCAACATGCGAAAAGTCATCCCCTACATAGCTTCGCAGTTCCGCAAAGACAAGATCTGGCTGCGCAGAACAAGACCCTCCAAGCGCGACTACCAAATCGTCCTGGCCATCGATGACAGCTCCAGCATGGCGGACAACCGCTCCAAAGAACTAGCCTTCGAAAGCGTAGCCTTGATCTCCAAGGCGCTAACGCTGCTGGAAAGCGGGCAGCTGTCCGTGGTCAGCTTCGGCGAAGCTACCGCCGTGCTGCACAAGCTCAGCGAGCAGTTCACCGATCGCAGCGGGGTGAAGCTGCTGCAGCAGTTCAAGTTCGATCAGAATAAGACTTGTGTGGCGAAGCTGGTGGACTTTGCCACGGAGATGTTCGAGCAGTCGCAGCTGCGGGCGGCCGGGGCGAATGCGAAGCTGCTGGTGGTGGTGAGCGACGGCAGGGGGGTGTTTTCGGAGGGGGAGGGGGTCGTGAGGCAGGCGGTGAGGAGGGGGAAGCTGGCGAATATTTTCACGGTGTTTGTGATTGTGGATAATCCCGAGAATAAGAGTTCGGTTTTGGATATCAGGATGCCGGTGTTTAGGGATGGGAAGCTGCTGGGGATTCACGGGTATATGGACGTGTTTCCTTTTTCGTTTTATATTATATTGAGGGACATTAATTCGTTGCCTAATGTTTTGAGTGATGCTTTGAGACAGTGGTTCGAAGTCGTGTCGAATTTGGATAAATAAATCTGTGTACAATAAAGAATGTGCTGAGAACATATGATTCTTTTTTTTCTCACCCTTAACCCCTTATCCTCCGAGTAGTTTTTGAGGTACAGAAGGACTAGATATTTAGCGAATTGAGAAGACCCCGTTTGCAAATTTTCATACCATTCTGACGCCTCAAAATAATTGAGAAAAAGTTCAAAGGGGTTAACCTTCTTTCTTTTTCCGACCCGAAAACCAACTTGGTCGTAGCGCTTTCAAATTTGATATACAGGGTCCTGAAGGGATGTCCGAGTGTGGAGTAGAAGCACAACTCTCTAACATTTATAGAAAAAAAAATGCAATTTTCGACCTATTTTCCTCTCCTTGCGGTACCTTCAATATCAACTGGCTGGTGATCTAGTACCAAATTGAGTGGAGATCGATTTCATGAATGCTACTGAAATTTTGGCGGTGCTAAATAAATTCACGTATTCTGCCAATGGAAATAAATTTTTTGCCATCATTTTTCAGCGATCTTTCAGCCAATTTTTTCAATTTTGGATCACAAATATCTTTGAAACCGATAGAGATAGAAACAAACGGAATTCAGATTCTTGTTCAGAACATCGAGAACATCCTGTATGCAAGTTTTGAATCCATTCTGACGCCTCAAAATATTTGAAAAAAGTTCAAAGGGGTTAACCTTCTTTCTTTTTCCGACCCGAAAACCAACTTGGTCGTAGGGCTCTCAAATTTGATATACAGGGTCCTGAAGGGATGCCCTAGTGTGGAGTAGAAGCACAGCTCTCTAACATTCATAGAAAAGAAGTTGCCATTTTTGACCTGTTTTCCTCTCCTTGCGGTACCTTCAATATCAACTGGCTCGTGATCTAGTACCAAATTGAGTGGAGATCGATTCCATGAATGCTACTGAAATTTCGGCGGTACTGAATAAATCCACGTATTCTGCCCATGAAAATAATTTTTTTGCCATCATATTTCAGCGATCTTTCAGACAATTTTTTCAATTTTAGATCACAAATATCTTTGTAATCGATAGAGATAGAAACAAACGGAATTCAGATTCTTGTTCAAAACATCGAGAACATCCTGAATGCATGTTTTCAATCCATTCTGACGCCTCAAAATTATTGAGAAAAGTTCAAAGGGGTTAACCTTCTTTCTTTTTCCGACCCGAAAACCAACTTGGCCGTAGCGCTTCCAAATTTGATATACAAGGTCCTGAAGGGATGCCCTAGTGTGGAGTAGAAGCACAGCTCTCTAACATTTAAAGAAAAAAAGTTGCAATTTTTGACCTGTTTTCCTCTCCTTGTGATACCTTCAATATCAACTGGCTCGTGATCTGGTACCCAATTGAGTAGAGATCGATTTCATGAATGCTACCGAATTTTTGGCAATACTTGATAAATTCACGTTTTCTGCCTTTGAACATAAATTTTTTCAATTTTTGATCACTAATATCTTTGAAATCGATAGAGATAGAAACAAACGGAATTCAGATTCTTGTTCAGCACATCGAGAACATCCTGTATGAAAGTTTTGAATTCATTCTGACGCCTCAAAATATTTGAAAAAAGTTCAAAGGGGTTAACCTTCTTTCATTTTGAGACCAAAAAATCAACTTTGTCGTAGGGTCTCCAAATTTGGTATACAGGGTCCTTGTGGATTGAACAAATGCGGAGTAGAAGCACAGCTGTCTCACTTCCATAATAAAAAAGAAGCAATTTTTCACCTGCTTTTCTGTCGTTGCGGTACCTTTGATATCAAATGGCTCGATCTAGTACCTCCGATTTACTGGAGATCGATATCATGGAAACTATACTGAATTTTTGGCTAACCACAATGAATTTTGCCGATGAAAGAAATTCCATGCCATAGTTTCAGCGATATATCAGATTTTTTTTCAATTCTCGATCGCAAATATCTCAAGAACCAAGTGAGATAAAAACCAACGGACTTCAGATTCTTGTTCAGCACATCAAGAACACCCTGTATATAGGTTTACAGTCCATTCTGACGTCTTGAGTTTGGTGAAAAAAGTTCAAAGGGGTTAACCTTGTTTATTTTTCAGACCGAAAAATCAACTTTGTCGTAGGGCCTCCAAATTTGGTATACAGGGTCCTTGTGGAATGCCCTAGTGCGGAGTTGAAGCATAGCTCTCTCACTTCCATATTAAAAAAGTAGCAATTTTTCACCTGCTTTTCTGTCGTTGCGGTACCTTTGATATCAAATGGCTCGATCTAGTACCTCCATTGACTGGAGATCGATATCATGGAAACTATACTGAATTTTTGGCTGACCACAATGAATTTTGTCCATGGAAGAAATTTTTTGCCATCATTTCAGCGATCTATCATATTTTTTTTTCGATTTTCGATCGCAAATATCTCGAGGACCAAGTGAGATAAAAACAAACGGACTTCAGATTCTTGTTCAGCACATCAAGAACACCCTGAATACAAGTTTACAGCCCATTCTGACGCCTTGAGTTTGGTGAAAAAAGTTCAAAGGGGTTAACCTTGTTCATTTTTCAGACCAAAAAATCAACTTTGTCGTAGGGCCTTCAAATTTGGTATACAAGGTCCTTGTGTATTGCCCTACTGCGGAGTAGAAGCATGGCTCTCTAACTTCCATAATAAAAAAGAAGCAATTTTTCACCTGCTTTTCTGTCTTTGCGGTACCTTTGATATCAAACGGCTCGATCTAGTACCACCATTGACTGGAGATCGAGAAAGTTCTTGCCATCATTTCAGCGATCTATCAGACTTTTTTTTCAATTTTCGATTGCAAATATCTCGAGAACCAAGTGAGATAAAAACCAACGGACTTCAGATTCTTGTTCAGCACATCAAGAACACCCTGTATATAGGTTTACAGTCCATTCTGACGCCTTGAGTTTGGTGAAAAAAGTTCAAAGGGGTTAACCTTGTTTATTTTTCAGACCAAAAAATCAACTTTGTCGTAGGGCCTTCAAATTTGGTATACAGGGTCCTTGTGTAATGCCCTACTGGGGAGTAGAAGCATAGCTCTCTCACTTCCATAATAAAAAAGAAGCAATTTTTCACCTGCTTTTCTGTCGTTGCGGTACCTTTGATATCAAATGGCTCGATCTAGTACCTACGATTTACTGGAGATCGATATCATGGAAACTATACTGAATTTTTGGCTGACCACAATGAATTTTGTCAATGGAAGAAATTTCTTGCCATCATTTCAGCGATCTATCAGATTGTTTTTTTCGATTTTCGATCGCAAATATATCTCGAGAACCAAGTGAGATAAAAACCAACGGAGTTCAGATTCTTGTTCAGCACATCAAGAACACCCTCTATATAAGTTTACAGCCCATTCTGACGTCTTGAGTTTGGTGAAAAAAGTTCAAAGGGGTTAACCTTGTTCATTTTTCAGACCAAAAAATCAACTTTGTCGTAGGGCCTTCAAATTTGGTATACAAGGTCCTTGTGTAATGCCCTACTGGGGAGTAGAAGCATAGCTCTCTCACTTCCATAATAAAAAAGAAGCAATTTTTCACCTGCTTTTCTGTCGTTGCGGTACCTTTGATATCAAATGGCTCGATCTAGTACCTACGATTTACTGGAGATCGATATCATGGAAACTATACTGAATTTTTGGCTGACCACAATGAATTTTGTCAATGGAAGAAATTTCTTGCCATCATTTCAGCGATCTATCAGATTGTTTTTTTCGATTTTCGATCGCAAATATCTCGAGAACCAAGTGAGATAAAAACCAACGGAGTTCAGATTCTTGTTCAGCACATCAAGAACACCCTCTATATAAGATTACAGCCCATTCTGACGTCTTGAGTTTGGTGAAAAAAGTTCAAAGGGGTTCATTTTTCAGACCAAAAAATCAACTTTGTCGTAGGGCCTTCAAATTTCGTATACAAGGTCCTTGTGTATTGCCCTACTGCGGAGTAGAAGCATAGCTCTCTCACTTCCATAATAAGAAAGAAGCAATTTTTCACCTGCTTTTCTGTCTTTGCGGTACCTTTGATATCAAACGGCTCGATCTAGTACCACCATTGACTGGAGATCGAGAAAGTTCTTGCCATCATTTCAGCGATCTATCAGACTTTTTTTTTCAATTTTCGATTGCAAATATCTCGAGAACCAAGTGAGATTAAGACAAACGGACTTCAGATTCTTGTTTAGCACATCAAGAACATCCTGTATGCAAGTTTTCAGCCCATTCTGATGTCTCGAGTTAGGTGAAAAAAGTTCAAAGGGGTTAACCTTGTTTATTTTTCAGACCAAAAAATCAACTTTGTCGTAGGGCCTTCAAATTTGGTATACAGGGTCCTTGTGTAATGCCCTACTGTGGAGTAGAAGCATTGCTCTCTCACTTCCATAATAAAAAAGAAGCAATTTTTCACCTGCTTTTCTGTCGTTGCGGTACCTTTGATATCAAATGGCTCGATCTAGTACCTCCGATTTACTGGAGATCGATTTTGGCGCAGGGCCTCCAAATTTGATATACAGGATCCTTGTGTTATGCCCTACTGCGGAGTAGAAGCATGGCTCTCTAACTTCCATAATAAAAAAGAAGCAATTTTTCACCTGCTTTTCTGTCGTTGCGGTACCTTTGATATCAAATGGCTCGATCTAGTACCTCCGTTGACTGGAGATCGAGAATTTTTTTTTTTCAATTTTCGATCGCAAATATCTCGAGAACCAAGTGAGATAAAAACAAACGGACTTCAGATTCTTGTTCAGCACATCGAGAACACCCTGTATGTAAGTTTACAGCCCATTCTGACGCCTTGAGTTTGGTGAAAAAAGTTCAAAGGGGTTAACCTTGTTTATTTTTCAGACCAAAAAATCAACTTTGTCGTAGGGCCTTCAAATTTGGTATACAGGGTCCTAGTGTAATGCCCTACTGCGGAGTAGAAGCATAGCTCTCTCACTTCCATAATAAAAAAGAAGCAATTTTTCACCTGCTTTTTTGTCGTTGCGGTACCTTTGATATCAAATGGCTCGATCTAGTACCTCCGATTT